TTCCTGCTGGCCCCGTGCTTCTGTTGAAGGTGGCTCAAAACATCCTAAAAGTGTGTTTAACTAATCAGTGCTGATGGGGAGTACAGCCTCTTTACTGCTGCCTCGATTTCTCCTCCCCTTTCTCAGTAAGTCTATGCTTCCTGAGCACAGTAAATTGTTGATAATGGGACTCTTAGTCATCTCTGCAGTCTCCTATTATCCAGGCTGAGCAATGAAGCCCTTTTGATTAGTTTTTAAGGTCATTAATATTTTAACTGACTGTAGGAAGCTCTAATTTAATTAATAGGAACAAAGGTCTGAATATGAATGAATGAAGTCCCCGTTACACTTCAAAGCTGCAAAGCTTCTGATGCTGGTATTACTGGTCTGAGCTCTGTCAGGTGCCACAGAAGGTCAGGTACCAACTAGCTAATATCCGACAACTGCCAGTGTGCAGGTCCAAAAATCAGTCAGACTTAGAGAAGCGGTCGTGTTTGCAGAGGAGAAAATGCAACATGAGGCCCCATCTGTACCCACTGAGATGAGAAGGAGATGCAGAGACGGTGGCTGGTGCAAACAAGCGTGGTTCAGTGCTGGAGTGTATCCCTCCAGGCTCCCTGGGCCATGTTAAGAAGACAGATGCTGGAGCTTGTTGTATGTAATCTGCTAGCCGTCTTTAAACTCTGACAAGAGTTTTTTTAATGAGCATTGGCAGGACACACAAATAGACTAGCAGTGTTGCTTCTTCAACCATTAATATTACATACATGGGCTGCTTAATTTGCTGTTCCTCACAGAGTCCTAAGCAGAAAGCCTGCATAATGAAGGATTTGTTGACAGAGTTCATATCAAATCAGCAAAAAAGTAGCAAACGATCCAGTTTCAGGCATATTTGTTTGGCTCATGTAATCTTGGCTCCTGATTGTGTGCACAAAGTGCAAAGCTCTCTGTTCTGTATGGACCCTTTTTGCTGCCACTTTTGAACTTCATCCATTAAAACTTTCATCAAGAAGCCAAACAGTGCAATAATACTCGCCAAATAGGAAAGAGGCATTATTTATGCATGAGGCCAATGAACACCCGTTCAGAAAGGTGCGTAAGCATATGCCTAGTGCTAAGTCCTCCAGCAAGTTTTCAAATAGTGAGAAATGAACTGGAAGCAGAACATGCAGCCTATCTCCTCAGCCCTTTGCAAGTGATCTCCAAGCTAGTTTTAGGGCTTGCTCCTCCCCATCAGCAGGATGCAGCTGGCACTGGGGGCAGGCAAGGCAGCAGTTGGGCTGGCAGCACCTGATTGCCCTACAGGGCACGAGGCTCTCAGGCTTCAAACAGATACATGATCTTGTGTGTGCCCGACAGCATGGACTGGGTGTCATACATAATTGATTTTATATGGTAGAAGTTTTATTATAGGCTATAAGATGAATCCCTACATGTGTCGCTGCAGTGCTCTACAGCTGTGCAAGGACAGAAATATGGTGCTATAACAATAAACATAGCGAACTACGTGACAGAAGTCCTAGGTTTTCAAGGACTAAATACATTCATCTCTGACAGTTTTTGAAAACGTTTGAGGCATTTTCCAAGCATAATATTTCAAGACGATACCTCCTTGCCTGAGCTAATTCCCCAGTGATGCTTATTAGACTTTGCTTGATCAATACACAAGTGAGTCCAACTGGCACTGTCTGCTGGTGACACTTGTGACAGACTCTGTTGAGTTGCAGTACACAAGTCCTTTAGCTTTTGCTAAGGCTCTTGAACAAAGAAGCAGCCCCATAGACCACAAGGGAATGAGTGCAGGCAGTCTTGGAGAAGCTGAACGTATACAGAGCTGAATTAAAAGTGTCTCTAGTGTGCTCATTTCATTTACATCTCATTCATTATGGAAACAAGGTGTGAAAGTAGTTTCCAGAGCTAGTTAGTGCAGGCTGCACCTTGATTTAATACCTCTGCTGGTGTCTCAAGTCACTTACCTCCACAGACCTCTTGTTCTCAAACCAATTATTTAGCTATATCTCTCAGATCTCCAAGTTCACTGCTATATTAATGCAGCTTAGTCTAAACCAGTATATATTTAGGACTGCTGAAAGGAAAGCTTTTAAAATGAGGGAAGACAGCAAAGAAACAGCTTACCTGAATTACAGGACAATCAAATTTCTGCTCTTCATTGTATTAATGCATAAAGTCTAAAGAAAAAAGGAAAAAAAACACCACACACACAACCCACCAACCGAACAGCATCAGACACGTTTCCCTTTGTTAAAAATGCCTGTATCAGTCTATTGGTCTAGCTAGTCATATAAAAAAGACACTCAAGCATGAAAACAAGGAGGTGACTGCAAAAAAAAAAACAAACCAAAACCAAAAAAAAGTCATTAATAACACTCATGAAAGACACTGCTTGCAATCAGCCGGGCTCTTTATCAGCTCAGGAGACGGCCAATGGGAGTCACAGTTGCAAAAGCTACATGTGTGCAGCATCCACACACCATTACTGCTTTTACAGCAGGGACCAAAACTTAGTCCTCGTTGTTTGCCAAAGAAGGATCCTCACCCGACTGCGTGAAATAGAAGCTTTCCATCTGGAGCAATTCCATAGGACAGGGGCACTCACCTGGGCCAGTGCTGTTGAAGGGCTGAGCACCTCACCTGGATTCTTAGCAGTGACCCTTGGCCAGCTGGATTAACACTAATTTTTAGGGCAAAAGCACCTGGAAACTCCAGCTCTGTTGGAGACTTGTTGTATAAAGTGCTGTGTGCAGAACTAGAAAGATATGGAGGGAAGATGGTTGGTTTCGGTTTTCTCTTCCCAAAGGAAAATTTTGCTGAGCATGAAAACATATTTTCAGCATCCAAATGCACACAGTGTATGACATACACACACATACAGATATATCGGTACATACCAAAACCTCCACAGGAAGTTAATGACTGATTCTATGACCCTCAGTAGATGAATAGACAGGCTGGTGCTTGCATACAGACCACCACAACCCACCCTGGCGTCTCCCTGAGCAGAGCTCATGCTCCTGCCAAGCAACCGTGATACGCAGCAGGGCAGGTGGGGTCTCTGCCTGGTTCTGCCAGAGACTTCTGACGCTACTTGGGGCAAATCACTTAACCTTGGTCTTCTCCATGTCAATAAGGAATCCACCTCGCTCAAAGCACTTTGAGATCTATGGAAAAAGAGCGCTCTAAATACTAGGTATTATTTATAGTATTGCCCTACGGATAATAGCAAGCTACAGCTGTTAGAGACAGCGGGGATCTCTGAGCAAGCAAAAAGGCATAAATCTGAATGTCAGTATTCTTACCACTGTAGCTGATGGCTGTTTTGTCCTATGAGAACATTTCTGTGGTTTGTGTTACTAGATGAACTTGCTGTTAGTTTTGTATGATCCCCAGGGGCAGCTAACACAGGAATCTGGACTCACCACAGTGGCTCGTTGGTACAGCAAGTCTGACGTTCTGTTCCCAGCAGTGGCGTGTACCTGTTCTTTCTGAAGGAGAAAGATTGGCTGTGGCGTGGGGCTCTTGCGAGGCAACCTTGCACACATGCACGCACCTGACCTGCACAGATGGCTAGCTGAGCTTTGGCTGCTTACCTCCGCATCACTAGGGTAAGTCTCTGTGGACATGATGCACGGATGTATACAAAAGCACCCAAAATAGCTCAGGTATTGGAGGCAGGACTGTACGCTAGGTTTTGTGGACAAAGATAGTGTCACATCGGCCTTGACTACAAGGATTTAATAGCAACCTCCTGGCTCCCATGCTTGCAACACCACAAGTGCTTGCAAGTGTACCAGAGATGCATCAGGCACACTGTCTGCTTTATCAGGGGCCGCATTAGATGCCACAGAGATAAGAATGGATTGTGGCAAGTCTATCCTAGCCCTGCCTTTGCAGTAATACTCACAGAGATGATGGGCAGGGGATTTTTAAGTGTTTTTAGCACTGATGTAGCCCATGTAAGTAAAGTACTTACTTATCCTACTGATAAATTCCATTGATCATAAAAAGAAGCCCCGTTCGGTGTTACAAAAGCCAGATGTCCAGCTTGGACACATATCCTTGTCTCTTGAATGCCATTTCTATTCTACAGAACAAGGATTTCATTTTGATTGTAACTGGCTCAAGGCATTGGCCACATGAATGCTTTCTATTCTGCACGCAGTGGAAGAGTTATCTCACTCTGTATGAAGACTACGCTTGAAGCAGGCTGCTACCAACAGGCTGCTCTTCATCCCCTTGCTATATGGACTGACAGGCAGTGTCATTCCCAGAGAGCTGGCTGCAGCCCGCTTGCCCCACAGCAGTACAAACTAAACACTCCCCTCCCTGCAGCCAGGAAACCTGGACCCAAGCCCTTGATAATTACGGGCTGTCAATGGTCTGCTCTGCAGCAAGAAACTCCAGTGGAGATGGCTCAGACCTAGGGATTTTCTGTTAATTTGCAGGTGTGACACATCTGTCTGCTCAAGGCTTTCCAGGAGTGATACTAATTACAGTAATGTGGTCATATAGTAGAGAAAACCATTCTCAATGACCACTTGGGAGTTAACGTCTTTTACCCTGGTCTCAGGTACCTAGGACACTGCCCTGAAGGGCGGGAGCGTCTGCTGAGCATCTGAAGAGTAGGGGTTGAGCACTTAACAAAACTCAAGATATTTCTTTGTTTGCAAGGTCTGAAACATCTCTAGTGACCTCCTACCTGAGCAGCAGCCAAGTAATCCAATCTCTCATGAGATGTACTGAAAGAAAGCAAGCCTTTTCTTTTTTTCAGCTTGGATCCTGTGGAGTTACATACACAAGTCCTAACTATCCAACACATGCAAAAGTATTGCTCTCTGAAGGCATGTTTGCCCTAGCCCTATTTATACCAACTCACTCTTTTAGAATTGTTTTCAAAGGCGCATTTATACAAATGTGGCTCTGTCTAATCACACCAAAATCAGAAACTCACATATAAGGCTTTCAGACTAGAAATATGCACGTGGATTTATTTGAAAATAGATTTCAAATCTTGGAAGGGTGATTTGGTGCAAATACATTTCATAACATGTTTTTGAGATTGTGTCTTCTCCTGCCAACACTGCACAACGTAAAACTTTGTAACGAGGTTTTGCCAAGAGCCTTAACTCACCATTTTATCAAAGGACAAGTTTCCATATTGCTGCCAGTCTCTTTTAGGGTAAACGTTCTGACAGTGAAAGGAGGGGGGCGTTCAGAGTAGGAAAAAAGATGAAGCCACTAAAATGCAAATTTTATTCACAGTTGGCATGTTTATAAATATATATATTACATTCTTACAATCTACAGTACATTCTAAATATAGATGGAGTCAATATAAGTGTTTGTGGGAGAGTGGGTGTGTATTAAACTCAGCAACCTAGATTCAATGACAGAGAGAGACTAAGTAACAAAAGGAGGGCAGGGACTTACTTTGGAAAATAAAGGACAATTTGAAATATAAGCCAGATCTTAGTTAGTGCCTTGACACTTTGCCACTGGTCACTGGAGAGTGCTTTTGGACCACACAAATGATGTCACAGTTTTAGGGCTGGAGGGCACATCAGATTCAAAAGGTAATCACTGACATCCTACCATATGTACATCCTTAGCAGAGGAAAACAAAAGCTAACCATCACCTGCGGGAAGAAAAAAAAAAACCCATTATCTACGTAGCTTAGCTGTTCAGGTTTCAACAACTTTGGGTGTAAAGCACTCCTCTGTGACCTTCAAGTGCCCTCTCGACATGCTGCGCAGAGGTCGAAAGAAGCATGAGCAAAAGCAACTGAACAACCTAATGTCTCCCAGGAGAGGGAAGAACAAAGAGGCAGTTGCTGTTGGTGGTCCAGTTCAGCACAAGTTACACTTACCCAAGAGAGAGTGGCCAGCTTTGGTAAATGACAGCATGTAAAGCAAGAACCCGTGTGGTACCAACAGTGTCTGCGCTTGGCGAGAATGCAGCGTGGAGAAGCAAGTGTGCTGGGCAGGGAGGGAAGGGAAGGAAGGAGCCACCGCGCTTCCAAAGCTGATTGAGGCTAGGAGGTGCCCTCAGGCTACCAAATGGGGAGTACTCCAGGGAAATGCTGGGAATACAAATTTGAAACAGGACAATCAAAGAAAGTGGGCTTTTAAAAATAGCTTGGTTCTCTCAAACGTTCCAAAACAGACCTTCCTTTACACAAGTGGTATTCTGAGTATACATTATATCTTCTCCTATTTTACAAATTAAGAAATACCGAAAATTGGCCGGCAAAGTTTATTACCTTGGCTTCTACTTAAAAAGAGAGGTTCATTTTTAACTGTATATGTGTATCCATTCTCAGTGTTTGGGAGGCAAACATGCTGGTTTGTAAACAGCCCAGTTACTCCTTTTTCCCCTCAAGATTCTTTGGAAACTCATGACTTTGCAGCTATGGCAGCTGTTCTGCTCACATTGTTGGTTTTGTCAGCTTTAAATTAATGTTCTTGGATAGATATTCTCTGCATGTGGCTTGAATGACATGCTTTCTTCGTTGATCTATTTATTCTGAGACCAATTTTTTGCTTTTAACCAAAGCTTGCAATATTGAACGGTAGAGCTGTGTGAACTTTGTAATAACCAAACTGCACTGGAGTTTGTTATATTTATTGATTTCCCGGGAAAGCTCAGAGAATGAGATCTTATTATTTTGCTAAGTTTTTTTTTCATGTTACCATGCATCAAAAAACCTCACACATCTCTCACTTCTGTCTCTGAGCACAGAGAAGATTTGAATTGTAAGAGCTGCCCAGGATCTCTGCTCTCCCAGCTGCTTTTGGGTGGCTTCTTGGGGCTCTGTTGAGTTATTATCCACCAGCTGATTCTTCTTATCAATGCAACATTTTGCCCCACTACCCAAAAATTAAAGGCAGAAGGTGAGTGAAAAACAAACAAACCAAACAAAAAAGGTCTTTTGTGTCTCGTTACACATTTTCATGTAATCTCTCCATATAGTTTTTTAGTTCTTTGCATTCCCCGAGGTCCATATCCTGGCAGACCCATTTAATATCATCCTCACTGCTCATCAAGACTGAGTTGACAGTTGGACACCCATCATCAGAGGAGATGGTGGTAAAAGTGGTGAATTTAACCCGTTTCCTCTTAGAGGTAGGAGAAGTAGTTGGTTCGCTTTTCTGTTCTTTCCCTTCAGTGAATGTGGACTCAGTAGACCTAAAAGCTTGTCCATTAATATTTTTGGGGGCATCTGTGTTGAGGAGATATTTGCTCTCTTCATACTCCACTCCTCTGTCAATGGCTGTGATACGTTCATCTTGTTGGGATGAGAAGTTTATGTGATTCTCCAGAAGTTCTGTCCTGTTGCTCAGCCCAACCCAATCATGAGAGTGGCTCATACCCTCTTGCTCTTCAAAGGGAACTTGTTTGTGTCTGTACTTCAAAGCAAAAGTGACACAATTGATAAGGAAGACCAGAATTGCCAGGCAAAAGACTCCCAGCAGAGCATACATTCCTATTTCCAGATCACTGAGTCCCCTGGGAGTCTCGACTAGGTCATTTTCTTCCAAGTCTCCATTGTTTCTTGGCAGATCCACCTGTGCAGGGAAGCTTGTGAAATCTATTGGGATGTTCTGCAGATGACTGTCATCATCCAGGAGGCTTTCTCTGTCTTCTTTTTTACTTAAAATAGACTTTTGAGTGGTGGTCCATTTGCCTTCCTCTTGGCCCACTGAGGAGCTATAATATTGACCATCTGGCCCAGCTCTTTCCTGCAGTGTGGTTTTCTGACGCCGGTCACTGGCATGATTTTCTAGGTGAACGCCAGCACCTCTGCGTTTGCTATCACTGATGTTAGGGTTGGCATCACTCTGACCAAACTTGACTTTAATGCTACAAAAAAAAAACCTTCACCAGCGTCCCCTGGCCTTCTGTCTCTGCAGCAATCACAGGCCACTTGTATTTGGGGTCATGGTGAATTGAGACCACCTTCTCATCCAGAGATGTAGCTGACAAAGAGAAGTCTTTGGAGTCATAAATATCCAGGGGCATGACGGAGCCATCACTGAACTGGATCCAGCAGCTGATGGCTGCTTCCTGTTACATATAAAACAAATATACACACTCTCAAAACAAACATTGAAAGAAGTATGTTCTGTCCTAGTCTATTCCCTCCTCCCCACAAGACCCATATGTCATTTATAATCAGAAAAGAAAGAAAAAGGCAGAGCAAGAAAATTATTTTTTTGCCAAGATGCTAAAAGAAATGCTAGTTTAAAACACTCATTGATGATAAGATTTGTTTTCCCAAAAGTGCTAAAAGGAGCTGTGTCCCCTAGGCTCTGCAAAATCTACTTCAGCACCATAATAAATTGCTCGTCAAAAGGCATTACCAGCTACTGAGATCATTTACTGTTGTATATTTAAATGAAAAAATATATTACATTATTTCTAAACTGCTTAAAATACAAAGTCTCCTCTTGTTACACACAACACATGTTAAAAAATATCTAACACAGCAAATAGGCCCATACATAACTCCATGCCTTCAGTCCTGGATTTTTGTCTCTCAGATGAAATAACTGTTTCGTACAAACAGGGGAAACAGATTGGTTGCTTTTTTAGAAAATGGCCAGGGTAATTTTCATGCTTTCTAGCAGTTAAAAGCAAGACAACAATGAAGCTTAATTTTGCTTCACAGCAACACAACTTTGCATCCTTCAGAGTCTAGGGAAGTTTACTGACTGTGAAGGGAGTCAGATCTGAGCACTAGGTCTGTATGTGCACATGTGTAAGGGTGCAGCATTTCTGGAAACTTTGACTTTTGGTTTCTAACTTGAGACCTTTTAAAGAACTCTTAGATTTCAGATTTTAGATTTGTGCTTACCAATTTCAGAAAATCAGGCCCTCTAAGGATTTTTCAAATGGCTATCAAAACTTTACACGCTACCTGAAAAAATCATGGCATTCACACATAAACTGTTTGCAGGCAAAATTCAGACAGCTCCACTGGAATCAAATTTATGCTTCTGACAGTCTGACTCGCTATGACTCACTAGGATATTTTGCACTTTATTAGACACCAAAGAATCCATAGAAGACTGACCCCTGGTGAGATGAGTGGATTCTTCACTGTCTAAAACAGAGTGAACTCTGGTCAGAGCTGGGATTGCACCGCTCTGCAGGACAGCCTGACAGACAGACAAACACACAACCACACTTGCAGAAAGCGTGATTATACAAGTCTTGTTTCCTTAAATAAACAAGATTTCAAACAGATTGTTTTTACATTTTAACTCAACTTACATGGAAATAATATTTATCATTATCTTTTAACTCATTTTTTCCACATAGTGGTTCACCTGGTCAGATCACAAAGGACAGGCCTCCCCTCTTTTGGGATTGTATCCTGCATAATCTGCTGGCCTGATTCTGAAATCCTTACAGCCATAAAGCTTCCAGGGCTTTGATGGGAGATTTGCCTCTGTCTCTATTTCAGGACTGAGCCCTAAGACATTGCTGACACTGTCATAAATCTCGGCTTTGTGTTTATTAATCTTTGGATGTTTCTTGAAGGCTGCATAGCATTTATGTCATCAGCTCTCATCCTCCCACTGTGATGCTTAAACCTGCATAATCATTTAATAATTTTGCATTGCTCTGCTTATAGGGATTGTGCTCTGAAAATTGTGTACTAAGCAATGGAAGGAATCAGATGCCTATCAAAGCTGAGTCAATCCTTGAAGGGTGGAGGATGTGTATCTTCCTTGCTGGTTTAATACGGATTCGATGGTTTTCCAGTTGTAGCCTGGCATCCAGAGAGGGATTCATACAGACTCCGTTTCTGGAGTCTGAAATGTCACAGCTGGGCAGTGTGCTGGGACTAAATGCCAACAAATGCCATTAAACCCAGCTTTCGGACTGATTTCAAGGTAGGTAGTTTAACTCCCCATGTCAGCAATGTATTAGCTCAACGGTGTTACTTCTAGCTGTGTGGCATTGATTTCTTAACTCCTGGAAGACTATGGGAGCCTGATTCTTATCACCCTAAAAAGACAGCAGTTCTGTGATATTTCTCATCCTTCATCCCAAGGATAAGACCTTATGATGAATGAAAGAATTTCAACAGTTGGCCAGATTTCAAATACGCGTGTCCTGATCATTTACCTTTAAAGCCCAGAACATGTATCAGCATTAAGAACCCAGAGAATCCTTGATGTAAGTTCCCGATTGATGGATTTGGGTTGGAAAAGAAGTTTTAATTTCAAATGTAGATGAGAGCACAGGGACAAATATCAAGCGGGAACTGATGGAAACACAGCAAAGTCCAAAAGCCCTTGGTAACTGCACACAAGGACAGTGCCAGTGTACAGGTGCCCCAGCATAATGATTTCAAATCTGTGAGAACTTGAGCAGTGCAAAGTTTGGTTTAACTGTTCCTAGCACCAGAAGAAAGAACAGAGGAAGTCTCATACTGCTCACGGAGTAACCCCAGGGCAAAGGCAGGAAAAAAGCTATTGAACATTGGCGAGAAGACTCTGCAGTTCTCCTTATGCACAAGTTAAGATTTATCATGACAGGGGAACCTATGAAGATCTGTGAGAAGAGAAAGGGAACATGATAAGGTAGTGATCTCTGCGAAAATGGGCTAAGAGTGACAGATAAAAATTCTTGGTTTATGAAATCATGAATCATGAAATGAGTCAATGATTCTGATTCATAATCTGGTTCTGAATCAGAAAGAACGGGATGTTTCCCAACTTCTAAAACGCTTACAGAAAGTAACTAAATGAAGAAGAGCTTGGCTCTAGGCAAAACAGCTGTTTCATGTAAAGATGGATTTAAAAGTTTGATTTGGTTGCCTGTGGTGGGAGGCTGAACTCAGCAACCTCGATAGCAATATCTCCTCTGATTTGGGAGGTGTTTGGTGGATCAGTGGTGTGTGTGTGTGTGTGTGTGTGCGCGCGCGGATGCGCTGTTGCTTATTTATGACATGTCATTGAGCCACATGTAGGACTTTATCTTATTTACAGGATGCAGCCAGGAGAGATGGGGCATGTTAATTTGTTGACTCATGGGCTCGGGTTATATACGTGTATTGCCATTTTTGTGAGATCTTTGGTTTTTTATTAGGGCACCTGGTGGCCTTCAGACACAGGTGCCTATAAAGAAAATGTTTTATTAGCATACTATGAATAAAAGTCTGCCTGACCCCATCAGTTTGTAAGGCTGTGTAGTGAATCAGAGCACCAGAGTACAGTACATATGTGGGCAACATTACCTGTTTTGGAGACTGGAGCAGCTCTTGCGCTACTGCTGTAGCAAAAATGGCCTTATTGCTTCCTGGACTGAGCTGCAGAGAAAGCGACAATCCAGTTACCAGCTGCACTCCCAGGTCAGTTATTGTCACCTTCTCATCCAGAACTGTCACTGTCTTCTCAGCCAAGATAGCATCTGAAAGGGGGGACAATATCTGAAAAGAAAAATCAAAGTTAGCAACAGTCCTTTTGCATAGTCAAAAAGGCTACATGGAGCTACTGTAATGCAAATAAGTGGTATCTGTTGTTTATGGGCAGAATTACTCCTAGTAGATCTCTAGACACTATTAACATACGATTAATAAACGGCTAGTCACATTTTATAAGTCTTTTGCATCAATAGGGTGCTTGTATCATCTTTTACCCAATGTAATTCTAATCAGCTATGTTATTCACATCTGTGATAAGCTAACCACATCTGTCTCAGATGTATGAACTATTTGTAAATGTAATTTTACTGTGAAACACTATTTTTTCTCATGATCATGTTTTTAGGTTGTATATATATCATATAATCTATAAATTTCTATACAATCCATAGAACAAATGGCATTCATTCCTATCCTGCAGAAAGAAAAGCTAATCATTTGCTAGAGAAAACATTCACGATACTGTACACAAAACTGACAAAGAAAGCTTGCTTTGGTTAAAAAAATGTATGGAGGTCAGTGCACTGATACATGACCTCAAAAGATGTGCATTTGCCAACAAGTTGAATTTAATGATGCATATGGGACATGGAACATTTTTGAAGCAGTTTACAAGAGGTATTCTTCAAAATATACCTTGCTCTTGGCTTCTTTGCCTTGGAATTTTCTTTTCCCATTCACTCAGATTTTTATGTGTGTTAGTGGGAGCATTACAAGTCCCAGAGCTTTGGAAGGTCATTTATAAAATCTTTTTGCAGAAAGCCATAATCTTGGAATCCCATTTCTCCAGACCTGGCAAGCTGTGTTATTAACAAGTGTGGTTGTTGTTTTTCGGTTTGACAGTTTGGGATCATGAACATGCTTGGAGAGTTTGATTTTTTTTTTTCCTGTTCCAGTGCTTGTTAGGATGTTTTCTACTTTGTAGTATCACTGGGTTAATCTTGGGGTTTTTTTTTGGGGGGGCCCATTTTCTAGGCTGGTATTTGTCCACATATCAGTAAGAAATGTATTTGAAAAGCTGCCAAAGACACATTGCACAGGTTAAGGCAAGTTGCTTTAGATAGGGATACTGAGGCACACCCACCCACACAGGGGCATTTACCACGGCAAATTCTTGGCCATATTGGCTGAAACAGATGAAGCCAACATCTGCACCCCAGAGAATACAACCTAGCTCTCACCAATTAGTACTTTAACACCGTTCTTCAAGTGCCAATGATTATTATTCTTTTGTGCATATTCTGAACTGTACCCTAATGTTTGTATTTTGTAATACACCCCTTGAGCTTGCAAGACTAGCAGGGTTTTGATCCTATGGGACTCATATTCCCATCTCAGGTCCTCAACAAGCACTAGTAAATACTGACTGTAGCACTCTGCTCTGTCAATGTAGGCTTTGACAAGACTAAGCTCCTTCACTAACTGCATTTCTTGTTCTAGCTCCTATACTGGCTCCAGTTTCAGAAATGGCCTTAGACAAAGAGCCTCTCTAATTACACAGCTTGGGCTACATCTATTAAAACTGCAATCTGCATACTTCATGGCACAAGACAGGAAGAGAAACCCATCACTCCTATGTGCTCCAATCCTTGCTGAAGCCCTGTCCATTCCAAAATTCATGGCTCTGATTTCTGTTGCTAATGGAAGAAGCTACCGCATACTTGATTAATACCTCAGTTTCCGAGGTGGGGGGGTTAAGGGAGGAAATGGAGCGAGTCGTTCCTTTTCCCTACCTGAATTGTCGTCATTCCAAGCTCTTGCCCAATCAAAACCTGTCCATCCTGCAGCTTAGCGATTCGTGGCTCCTCCACCTGCATGAAGTCACTCACCAGGTTGGTGATGTCAATCTGCCAGTCAGAACCCAGCAAATAGCTCAGCTGGCTGCCAGGGTCTGAGGCTTCAGCTACAAACTGCGTGAGGACTCGCACCATCGCATGTTGGTACTGAAGAGTGCAGCCTCTTCCCTTCCGTTCGTCCTCTTCTTCATCATCACTGTCTCTGGCTGGTCTAGTAGGATAGCAAGAGTCAAAAAATTATGAGAAACTGGGGCTCGGAGAGCTTGCAACAGGAGAGCTCTTGGTGACAGAAGTCTGCAGCGTGGCTGGTGGATCAAGGGGCTAGCTGCCCCATCTGTTGCTCTGCAAGGTTGTGTCCCAACACTGAAGCTGCTGCTTTCAGAGCATTTTTGAAATCTATCAGGTTCCCCTACTTTTATCCTGTTTCCCTTATTTATAACTGAGGTCTTCAGGCTGCCTGGCTTTCCAAAACAGCTTCAGTTAACATCACCAAATGGCTTGCTAGCTTCTCTACCTCATTGTCCTCTCTAAATCGCTGATGATTTTTCCATGTTAAGCCTTTACTTTCAAGATCTCCTCGCTTTTTTCATTCTGGATATTTGCAGCTGTCCAAAGCCACATACGCCACTTGCATACACATCTCAGTGTTGCCATGGAAATCTCTGTCTGCATCTGCATACACATCCCTTTCTGTATGGCTTTCAGGGGCACTCCTTGAAATCCCCATATTTTGCTGTGACACTATCCGAGATCTGGTAATGAATGATGTGTTCATAGGTAGGTTGGAAGAGAGAGTTTACTTTAGCTATTTGTTCTTCTAGTTTTTAATAATGTTGTCAACAAACACAAATGGTCTAGATCTGACTATCTCCATCCTATGCCCTGTTCGTTGTATGTCATGCACCTGCAGGTGCAGATAGTCTCTTTAAGGCCCTAATGTAGCAAAGCCCTGATTCTAGGACACTCTGTCGACGGTCACTGCACCCTACAGTATTAAAAATAGGGAATAAATATGTACCAATTGTGACCTTTAATGATGAGTAAGTTAACTGACAGGACCTGTGAATCAGGCCCGAGCCCAGCTAGCCTTGCCAGAGCTGGTCCCTGTTGGTGTCCTCCTGCCGCCCCCAAGGTTGACCCTGCCTAACTTGACCAATGGGCCCTTTTCATCTAAGTCACTAGCACTATAAGAGAAAATTGATTTCCAATGCAGGATCGTGCAATCTGTGGTTTCCATTTCCTTCATAAGTCCAGTGCAGCAGCCTATTGAATAAATGTCTGGTGACCTTTACATTTACACTGGAATTGCATTAAGGCCAGATGAGTGTGTTCAGATCCACTGGCCCTGACAGGTCTTTGGCAAGTGCACAACCCAGAACGAGCATTCTCTAATGAAACTTACCTCTTATTAGAGATGATGGGGACTCTCCACCCCTTGATCTGATTTAGTTCTGTGTCAGAGACCTCTATCTGCAGCGGTAGACGAGGAACCCAGACTGTCATTTCTAAAGGTGCGCTCAGATGCTGGTAAGTAAAATTAACTATGACATTCACTTTGCCTTTCATTTCCTTCCCATTGACAAAGACATAGTCACATCTGTCAGAAACCTGAAAAAAGGAGAAAGAAATAAAAAATTAATGTGTCTCTTTGCAAAATTATGAAGTACACCACATGCTGGGAAAGTGAGAGGGAGGAAGAGAGAGGATTTAGGTTTAAACTAGCTCCAGGTTCAAAGGACAACTAGGAATAACAAGAAAAGTGACTGGTGTGCCCTTAATAGCCTGTTATAATTTGGCACCATTTTAAAAGGTAGCCTTTTCCTGCTCTAAATGGTTCCAATATAACCAAAGATAAAACAACAGCTCCCTTCTGTCTTTAATTCCCACTCCTGCACTAGAATCACAGGTTCTGATCATCCAGTCCCAGTGTAATGGCACTGGGACAGGGTTCCTCTTCCCAGAGTGCAGCCAGACTGTACTATCTTCCTCCTCTACTTCGTGTGCAGCTGAAGGAATACCGCATATACGTGAGCATGAAGAGTTAGGTAGCTGCCTGTGTATGTAATTCCACAGGGGAGCAAATTTCTCCAGTCAACACAAACTGCTGTTGCAGACAGGCGAGAGGCTGCTGGGAGGCAGGTGGTTTCATAGGCAGAGCCCTGCCCCTCTGACTTGCAATGAACTGGATCCCCCAAATGGGGGCAGAGGGCTTGTAGAAGAGCCCCTTTCACAGAAGATATGAGGCTAAGCTTGTGACCACTTGGTCAGGACTTTGTGCGAAGGCTGAAGGGTGCTTCTGTGCAAGCGTTTGGACAGTTTCTGGACTTTCCATATCGTTTTCTTCTGGAAGAAGAAGGTTTGTCCCAGTCTTCAACAAAGTAATTCCCCAAACCTACTGAGGACTCCACTGAACGCGATGAGCTGGGAGGGGAAGACCTTTGCTGCAGCCAAGTGGGCAAAACCGGGAATCTTTTTTCTCGGTAAATAGAGGAGCAGTCAGGACTGGCTTGATGAGCGTACAGTGTGGTTCCACTGCTGCTTTTCTGTATTTAAAAAGTATGGCAGCTCAATACGTTCAATGCCATTGATTCATCAGATGAACAGGTTCTGCAGAAGTCCCATTATGGGTGCCAGGGAAGTGGTGGTCGCTCCAAAACTAATCACAGGGGAAGGACTCGCTGATGCCCAGCGGTGCTCATTGGGGCCAAACAGCATCATCTCTGCTGCAAGCCTGACAAAGGTCTTACACAATGTTCTCCTCAAGCTACTCTTGATGTCACTTTATTTATTACCTGCAGCTCTGGACATCAATATTGGTGAGAGTTAGTAAATCTCACTCAAGCAATTTAGCAGCAATTGCAAGCATCTAGGTGAGCTGACAGGACCTGTTCATTACAGCTAGTTAAAATATATGAGTAAATGTACATGTCAAATAATTTATTAACTACCACTTTACAGTGTTGATGAGCTGAAGGAATGATCTATTAAAATCCTGAACTCTTTTTGCAATCCATTACCAGCCAGACCTTCTATTCCATTCTGCAGCTATATTTAATATTTCTGACTCCAGAATGCGCAGTCTCATCCTCATCTGAATTTAATGTCATTTTCTACTTTTCTGTTTAAATGCTAAATGAATTTAAATCGTATTTAAATATCACCAGCTTTTGTGGGATAATTTGCATTCCTAATATTATTATCTTTAGACAACAACAAAGCCCCTTGCAGACAGTTCCATAGCAAATCCATTTCCATCCCGGCTTGCCCGAGCCTAGGTAATGTACCACGAACTCTGAAAGGTTATCATTACTCTTGCACTGCCTCTCTTGCAAGCAGCATGTGTTGTTTTAAGGTCAAATT